TTTTTCTGTCAATATGGGGTGCTGTGTGTACATTAATGAGGAAAAAAAATTAACTTAAATGATTTTAGCAAATGGCTGCAATATAACAAAGAGTGAAAAATTTAAGGGGGTCTGAATAGTTTCCGTACCCACTGTATATATCTTTTTTTTTTGGTTGTAGCACCATGACTCACATTTTTATCTGTGCACCATAATAGCCTATATCAAACAAATTTTACTTTTACATATTTCATTTACGAAAATATATGAAAGCTTAATGACATTCGTAACTAATTGAATTAACACTAAAAACTGATATGTTTTTTTTTATTATTATTATTAGTATTAAAGTATGTTATTAAAGCAAGATTTAGGTTCAGGTTAGTGACTGCCCTTTCAGTTTAAAGCTCATTGTATATATTAAAATCAAATGAATTTTGAAAAGTTTTTTAATTTATCTACAAGATGAGACATCAAAAATTGCTTTATAAACATCTGACTGTCTCTAAACCAACCAGAGAAACAGGAAAATCTTGTAGTTGGGTATTTCTGTTTTTAAAAGCACAGCCTTTGCATTTGGGAACCTCTCGATTTTAATTCGCCTGAATGAAGAGTCTCATTTAAATCTGATTTACTTACTTCGCCTTTGGTGTCACACGGTGAACTGGCCGGTTTATAGTTGGAGTTACTGTCTTGTGCGCGTAACGTCCCGTTCGCCACCTGCTCCGCTCTGCGCCGGTGGATCGTGACCGGACCGTCCTTACCGGATCCATTGGCGTAAACGAGTCCGTTCTGACTAACATGCGAGCACGACTCTCTCGGAACCAGGCCGCAGCACTGCTGGAAAGCGGCCACCAGCTCGGGGCTGTTCAGGTACGAGATGACCCCCCACATGGCCGCACGGAGTTTGAGCTTCCGCAGTCCGCACCCAGCCCGGCTGAGCCCGCGTGCACAGGTGTGTTTTACAGCTGCAGGTGACAGAGCCTGAAAGTGTGCTGACGTAGAAGCTCATGGCTGTTTTGATTGGCTGACATGTTTACGCACGGAAAATTACCTGCTTATTGTACCTGTCACAGGTGGGTCATTCCTGTCTTGCAGTACCTTTGACTCTGTGACTTTCAAAAATTAATATTCTAGTGTTATTCTAGTCATTTAGTGACGTATATTTCTGCATCTGAAAGTAATTTTCAGAAATAATCAAGTGATCAAGCTCAGGCACTTCGATCTTATTTATTTATAGCAAAAAATGAAGGATGATCGATGATGAAGGTGTCAACTTTGTGTTCATTTTGATTTCATATTAATAAAACAAAAATAAAAGTCTGAAGTTTAATTATCAATGTAATGTTGATAATGATATTTTATTTACTTATAAACAGACCATATTCTCCTCTAAAATAAATCACAATAAAATAAATTATTGAAGTATCAGCACTAATATCTAAGTATATTGGCTTTCAAAAATAACTTACTGTACTTTTGAATCTGTGGTATCAGATTGAAAAATAAATAATTATTTTTTAAAAATTCAGACTCATCAAGGATAATATGATATTACACTTTTTATGTCATTTTATCTAATGAGATGTTTAAGAGTGAGACAAATTAACTAAATCACAAAACATCACAGAATTTACCACATCCCTTGCTCTAAGGCCTGGTTTCACAGACAGGGCTTAGACAGGATTAGGCCATAGTTCAGTTAGGACATTTAAGTAATTTTTCATAAACGTGCCTTAGAAAACACATTACTGGTGAGCATCTTGAGACAAAACAAAGGCACAGATATATTTTAAGATCAGTCAGTGCACGTTTCTTTCAGTTGACACAGCTCAGATTTACATTTTAGTCTGGGACTAGGCTTAAGCCTTGTCTGTGAGACCGGGGGTAAAAGTTTCATTTGGATCAGAATGATCTCCTTCGTTTTCAATTTCTTTTAAACATTTATCTTCATCTGACCCACAACAAATAAATAAACTTTTTTTTAGATATTCTTCTACTGTTCTTCTACATCTATTTTATCACTGTATATATGCACTGCATACAAACATTGTATTATTTGACTAAAATTTAATTTTGTTCCTGAAATCCACCCTAAATCCACTCTTTTTTTCTGGATATTCATGATTTTTGGATCAAAGGTATCCCAATCTTACCAAAAAGTTTTTTAACAACCCACAGGGATTAATTTAGGTTAATTTGGCCGTTTTTTAAATTTTTCTCAATGGCAAAAAGTGTCCCAATTTACCTGAATTCACTACTGATGGTCTGATCCAGATCAAAACCAAGACTGGATTACAATCTAATCTGAATGATCCTTTTTTTTCCCATTTGAACAAACTATTTTCAAGATTTGATCCAATCTAATATAGCCTAAAGCCCAATCATATTTCTTTTGAACTGGGTTCTGGTGTTTGTGCTGTTGTTTTCCCACCAAATGGCTTTTGTTAGTTGTAGTCCAAGAGACAACAAAAAAGACTAACAGGAAACTGATATTAAGGAAAAACCTACTAATTTAAATGTTTTGTTTGATTAGTAAAAATGTAAAAAATTAAGAAACATTTAAAAGATTTCTTAAAAAACTGCCAACTTTTCATGTCAGAAGTTATGGGAAATTTCCTTTTTTGGTAAATTGTAAATTTAATATTGTATCCGGTTTCCCTTCTACCTTTCATGGCAAAAACACTTGAACGAGTTGTGTTCAACCAAGTCTCAGCCTTTTTCACACAGAACAACCTCCTAGAAAGCAACCAATCTGGCTTCAGAAGTGGACATTCGAGTGAGACTGCCTTGCTTTCAGTTGTTGAAGCCCTAAGACTGGCAACAGCGGCTTCCAAATCTTCTATACTTATCTTGCTGGATCTGTCCGCTGCTTTTGATACAGTGAACCACCAGATCCTCCTGTCAACCCTATTGGAAAATGGCATCTCAGGAACCGCACGCCAGTGGTTTGAGTCTTACCTCTCAGATAGGTCCTTCATACACTGCGTTAGGCTAACCGAGACTTGTCATTTGCACTTATATATTGTTGCTCTTTTGTTAGTTTTGACTGCTTTTATTGTCCTCATTTGTAACTCGCTTTGGATAAAAGCGTCTTCTAAATGACTAAATGTAAATGTATCCAATATAACAACACAAAAAGGACCCTGGGGCTAGTTGTCACAAAAATGTAAACATAATAAACATGTTTATTTATTTGAATGGAGGGTGTCTGGGAAGTCTGTGAATGAAGCTGAAATATAGGTTAGGCAAGCCTTATGTTTCTGGATTATTAGTTTCCATGACAACAACGTGAGCCAGTTGAAATGTCAAACAGGTAGATGACTCACAATGGGGAATAAACGCGGTTAAATGGCCAGAATGATACATGGAAGAAACCACAGAGAGGTTTGGACAGCAAAAATGGAGTTAAATCTACTGACGTAAACAGCATGGTTTAGCCGAAGGCTCGTGCTGTTTGACCAGGACGCGTGTCTTATGCTTTGAGGTGTGATTCCCGCCGCGTCCCGCATCTTTCCGGATCGGTTCAGGAGGAGAGCAATTAAAGTCGCCCTTCAGGCGGCATTACATCACCGGAACGATACGGTTAATTAACGTGCACGGAGACTACAATAAGCGTTAAAAAAAAAAAAGGCCTGACACAAAAATGTCCGGGTTTAACAGCGTTCGCTGACGGGATAAAGAGAAGAAAAGGCTGCCCGCGTGACTGGCTCGCGTTCATTGTGTGGAGGATGTGAGGCAGCGCGAGATGCCATGGCAGCGGCGGATGCAGCAGCAGCTAACGGGCCGGAGCCTCCCGGTGTTCCGGTACCCAAGGCGTTTCCCTATGAGGAATATGAATGCAAAATCTGCTACAACTTTTTCGACCTCGACCGTCGGGCGCCCAAGATCTTGGAGTGTCTGCACACGTTTTGCGAGGAGTGTCTGCACGCGTTGCAGCTGTGCGAGGAGCGGCCGTGGCGCATCAGCTGCCCCGTGTGCCGCCACCGCACGCCGGTCCCGGACTACCGGATCCAGAACCTGCCTAACAACACCAAGGTCACGGAGAACTTCCCTCTGTACATCGACTCGGACCCCGTGCCTCAGGATGCTCTGCCGCCTCGCCGGCCTCCGCTGCACCCGGCGCTCGTTGCGCTCAGGCGCGAGGAGGACGCGTCCATGGCTGGTCACGCGACGCCGTCCACCACGACGGTGTCCAACGCGACCACGTTGTCCCAGGACTCGGTCTCGCGCTACGAGAGCTGCCAAAACTGCAGGCGTCTCGCGCTGACCACCGGATGCGTGTGCGTCATCTTCTCATTACTGTCCATGCTAGTGCTGCTCTTCATGGGCCTCATTTTCGTTCACAGCCACGGCGGGCCGCCCTCGCCCGCGGGACCCCTCTGCCTGTCGGTGGCCAGCATCCTCGCCATGGTGTCTGCGATGGTAACGTGGCTCCTCTACTGGCTCAAAGACCGACCGGAGCACGAGACGGGCCGCTCCTCGGCCACCAGTAACGCGAGCCGGAGAAACGCGTGACAGGAGATGAGCATCGTATGACAAGCCCTTAAAGCGTTTATTAATACTAGTTAGTTTCTTTTCATGTTACTAGTACTTTCAGTAGGCTATCTTTGGTTACACTTTATTTTAAGGTTTCCTTGTTACAGTGTAATTATACATATAGGCTAAGTACGGAGTAATAACTACATGTATTTACTATATGTGACCCTGGACCACAAAACCAATCATAAGGGTCATTTTTTTAAAACTGAGATTTATACATCATCTGAAAGCTGAATATAAGCTTTCCGTTGATTTATGGTTTGTTAGGATCGGACAATATTTGGCCGAGATACAACTATTTGAAATCTGGAATCTGAGGGTGCAAAAAAATAAATAAATAAAAATATTGAGAAAATCGCCTTTAAAGTTGTCCAAATGAAGTTCTTAGCAATGCATATTACTAATCAGATATTAGGTTTTGATCCTATCCTATGGTTTTGATATATGTATGGTAGGAAATGTACAAAATATCTTCATGGAACATGATATTTACTTAATATCCTAATGATTTTTGGCATAAAATAAAATCGACAATTTTGACCCATACAATGTATTGTTGGCTATTGCTACTAATATACCCGTGCTACTTATGACTGATTTTGTGCTCCAGTGTCACATATGGTTTGGCTTAGGGTTACTTGCATGTAATTATGCATAATTAATTGTTATTATATAATAGTAAGTACATGTAATGTGTGTAACAAGGACACCTTAAAATAAAGTGTTACCGTATCTTTTATATAGTTTAACTAGTACTTATTTATTAGGTAAATTAGATGTGCCTACTTCTATCAATCCCAGTATACTGGAAAAAATTAAGTTCACAAATAATTACAAAGAAACCTCAAGTAACACATTGGATTAAAATATGTGAAAGTATTTTCATGCAAAACATAGGCCAACTTCTCTGTTTTATTTACAAACATAATTTTTTACAGTATAATCACTAGTAACATTTGGTTACGATTGCTTATATTTGTGTAATGATTATTTATTGACCATTTCGAGGGGTGAGAACCAGAATGGCGTAAGTGACATTTTTGGTGAAATGGAGATATATATATCAAATGAAAGCTCTTAATGAGCTCTTTCTACTGGCAAAAGTACTGTCATCCATGAGTGTACAAATTTTTTATTATAAACAATTGAAATCAGTACACAAAGTCAGATCAAACTATGGTAACATTTTTTGTTTTGGCTCTCCTGTAAAGTTGGTGAAATGTCACTTACGCCTTTCTGGTTCTCAGCCCTCGATTTGTTAATGTTAGTTTCTGCATTAGGCTAGCTAACAATGAGCAATGCATTTGTCACATTTATTAAAGTTAGTTAATAAAAATACAACTTTTCAGTGTTACTTCTGGTTAGCTTAGGTCCATTAGGCTAATATTAACAAATACAACTTTTGAACTTTCTTATTATCTAAGAATAATAAATGCTTCATAAGTATTTTTCATTGTTAGTTCATATTAACTATGTATTTAACTAATGTTAACAAATGGAACCTTATTGTAAAGTGTCACTAGTGTCTGTTCAATTAGTATAGGGAAACTGGAAAAATACAAGTAACTCCTTAAATAGTAATTTCAATAACTAAAGAAGGACTAGTATCTAATGAGTCATTATCAGATCACTTAATAGTACAGGCTGGGGTTTCCCGACAAGGAGTATGGGTGCAAAATCTGCCACTTTTTCAACTATTTCAGCCCAAAATCTTGCAGTGCCTGCACACCTTAAGCGAGAAGAGTCTGCATATGTTGCTTGTGTGCAAGGAGAAGCCTTGGTGCATCAGATGCCCCCTATGCCATACATACCAGACTATCAGATGCAGAACCTGCCCTACGGCATCCACTGCAACCGTATACATGTGCGCCATCTTCTCCTTCCTGTCCATTTTTGTGCTGCTCTTCATGGGCCTCATATTTGTGCATGGCCACCTGAGGTTCTTCTGGCTAGGACACCTGTGTGAGCTTGAGAAGAACTGACTTCATACATCCTCTAAAAATCACCAAAACATCTGTTGGTTAAACATTGTTGCAAAAATAGTTATGGGAAAACACCCACAGCTGCCATTTGGTGTGATATTTAGCTGCTAATGCAATGATATTCAGACTTTGGTTGTGGGGCCACTATATAGAGTGGGGTCCAAAAGTGAAACCACTAGTGAAAATGCATCTATTTTGTATTGTTTTATCATTTAACCCATTTGTACATTTGTATTAATTACATTTACATTTATGCATTTGGAAGACACGTTTATCCAAAACAACTTAAATTGCATTCAAATAGTTCATCCATTCCCCGAGAATCTATCCATGACCTTAGCAATGTTAGCACTGTGCAACGTTTAATTAAAAAACTGGTCACAAATCTGCATACTAGCATAGAATTAGTAATTATTTTCTATTTTATGTCAAAACCTTGCTTTATTTTTTTTTTATACAAATCATTCTGTTAATATCGAGGTTTAAATAATAAAATGTGGTCTCAGATTTCCGGACCCCACTGTACATAATACAGTTTTATCATAGCAAATGAGACCTGCATTTATTTGACATTTACTGGAAATTCACTAATAAAGTCTGGTAGCTAGGTAAAACACTTATGTGAATCGGCCAAGCAAACGTGATTATTGGATGATATTCTCAAAATGGCTGCTGGGTGTTGTCATCCTCCTGCTGTATCATATACTATTCGTTTTTTTAAAAGAAGACCTCTTTGTTCTTATGGATCAATAGCTTTACTATAGAAATTGCTCATTTTATACCACCTCTTTGTTCTCCACTTCACCTATGCATCTATCACAGTAAAACCGTGTCGTTTGACAACTAACTGACAATCTCTTTTTGCTATCGTCTGTGTGTGCTTTTAATGTGCGTAGCATCACAGTGCATTGACCTTAGTACTCACTTTACCAACTCGTTCATCGGATTTTTGTACCACGCAAACCTGTGATGAGCAGTATCTGATGTACCTAGTTTAGAAGAAAACCTGCATGATGTTAAACAAAAACTAGATACTGAACTGTGCTTGGAAACGAAGGTCAGCCTTCAATACTTGAGGAAAGCCTCCTTGTTAATCGAATCAGTACAGCTGATTTGCCATTTCTACATTAAGCAATGACAAATTAGTCATTTATAAAGGGTATCTGATATGATGTTGTGAAAGTGTTGGTGAACAGCTATACAAATCGTACTCAAACAGTTCTCTGTTTATAGGGGTCATATGATGCGATTTCAAGTTTTCCTTTCTCTTTGGAGTGTTGGTCACATTTACCGTTGCTCAACGAAATTGCGCAGGAAAATTCCAGTCATTCAAATAGGAATGACTTTTTTCGCCTGAAAAAAAGTTGGCCACACAGATTTCAATCGCGTTGACAAACAGAAAGCTGCTTGGTATGAAAGTGACTTTTGTGCGAGCCTGTGACTTATAAAACTGACAATGGCGTTTTTTTACCCGCCAAATTTCACTAATGTGAATTGAATGTGTACATTTAGAAAAGATGCGCGTGAAGCAAGCAGGAATCTGACACCTGAAGAGCAGCTAGTTTTGCTGTGTCCTGCAGCCAAGAGGTGCTTTCAAGTGTTTACTGACCCACTAATGAAACTTTGCATTTCTCGCATAAGGCATTTGTCTTGGTATCATAAACTGATATATTCATCCAGCTAACTGTGGCTTGTTAACTTGAGTGCAAAACACAACTAGCATTGGCATACTGAATTTTTCTCTTATCTTTCTCTGTACAGCACTTTGGTTCCAGTCGTGGTGTTGAAAGTGCTTTATAAATAAAGTTTGAGTTGAATATATCATCCAGATTGTTTAGACTTAATGGTTTTATGACGATAATTAAGGACACTTGATGGCCTAAATTTCCTTCTATTAGGGTAAAGGCCATTTTCTTTAGAATGGTAAACATACTTGATCATATTCTCTTAAAGGGATAGTTCATCCAAAAATTACAATCCTGTAATTTACCCACCTTCATGTTATTCCCGAATCCTCTCGCTTTATCTGTGGAACACAAAAGGAGAAATATGAAAAACATCATGTTCCAAAGAGGACAAGAGCAAAACATGAGGGTGTGTATATCATTTTCAATCACTACTTCTTTAAATTAGCTCTTATGTGCCTTTACTTTTTATTTATTTGTTTATTTATTGAAGGAATTGAACATTTTAATAGGAATTATCAAGAGAATTTTCTATAAAGTTGTGCTGTTGTTGTAGGCAGATACAATGGATCAAACCAGGTCTGCCCTCTGTTGGTAGATAAGTGTAGTGACGCAGTCATTTGTGTATAGGTTTTGCTTAGATTTTTGTAAGGAAGGTTTTATAAAGTGAATGTGGGGGTATTTGAATGATTGCAGCAGTGATTTAGACAAGCAAAGGTTATTTCCCTGAGTGTTAAGGAAGTAAACAGCCATTATCTGCTGTTATCCGTGCTGTACAAAGCAACAACACTTGTAGAGAAAGTAGTATAATGTGCAGTAGTGTTATGTAGTCACCAGCTTCACAGCTCCTCCTGCCATTCTGTTGGGTAATATATCATTTTACTTTACACAATGACCTCGGTTTACTGCCTTTTTGATCCCTGCTGAAAAGACCAACAACAAAGTTTGGGGTCAGTAAGATTTTTTTCTTTTTTTAAAGAAAGAACATTAAATCATATTAAATTAAGCAGCTTTGAACATTGATAATAATCAGAAATGTTTCTTGAGCAGAAAATCTGAATGATTTCTGAAGGATCATGTGACATTGAAGACTGGAGTAATGATGCTGAAAATTCAGCTTTGCATCACAGGAATAAATTACATTTTAAAATATACTACAATAGAAAACAGTTATTTGTAATGATATTTCACAATATTACTGTTTTTACTGTGCTTTTGATCAAATAAATAGTGAACTTAACAAAATTGTTTCAAAAACACTGAAAAATCTTACCGAATCCAAACTTTGAACAGTAGTGTAAACTGCTGGTTAGTGCTGGTCTTGCTGGAAAAGCTGGTGGACCAAGAAAATCTTGCTGGTCAAGAGACCTGGAAGGCACACCAGCATTCAAAGCTCAATATACTGTATGCTGGTCTTTTCAACAGGGATGAGGATAAGGAGAAGAGAGAAGATACTCTTGTCCTCTGTCCTGGTCCAGTTATTTCATAGATGTGAGCCTGAAAGGAAACAGAAACAGTCTGTTGTGAACTCAGTCAACTTGGTCTTGCTGACTCACAAAACCAAGGACCAAACTGTAAAGAACGAAACGGACGATCAAAGATCAGGACGATCAGTGTGACCTCCCCTTGTTCTCATGGTACCACTATCGCTGTGACTGTCTGGACCATCAGGCCCGATGTGCGCACATCTGTTTATATGTCTGTTTCTCCCGCACACACTGGCCCAGTGACTGCACAACACTTACCTGAACCCAGTGTCACTGCCTGGGATGACTATACTTCCCTTAATGCACTCCAGCCCTGTTAGTAACACTATACGTAGGGTCATGGGCTTTGTACACAGCCCTTATATACTCTGTAATATGTTTATTAGAATTAGGAAATGTGTGTTTTTACTATTATGCCTCAATAATTGTTGTGAAACCTGTTTGAATTGTATTTGCACATTGAAATTGTTCTGTTGACATACAAGAACACACCTCTCGGTTGGCTAATAAATGAGAAAAAGGAAGAAAAAGGCTGTTTTCATGTAATTCATATATACAATATGAACTCACTGCGTGTGTGTGTGCGTGTATCCACCGTATTTTGAAACGCGTAAGTTTCAAGTTTTAACGTTTGATAACTAAGAATAACAAGTGCAGTAAATGGTAAAACTATTCGTTTGTAAATTGTAAACGAGTGTGTTCATGATTACGAAAATAAATATAAAAAGTATGATAACAAATAGGCCTATGTTTGCGATATCGAGCAGCATAACGGATTGTTTTTGAACAGGTAAAATAACAGGAAGTGAATTACACCGGAAGCCTCAATTCCTCGAACATTCTGGGAACAAATATAGCCGCGTCAAAAACGTTAAAAATAAGGTGGAATAAAAATGCAATATTTTATTTCCAATAGCATTTACGTGTTACTGTGAAACAAATGAATGTTTTCAGACAGCTTTTCTGAATGATAAATGCTTTCAGTACCTATAGCTGTCTCAGGATATCTCAACGATGTTGTCCTCCATCCGCACCATGCCTTCTCTAGCCTGGAGCTCATGCTTGTGCCAGTAAATGCAGGACAGATGATTTGATCCTAAAGTTGTCTTTGGGGAGGATTTACGTTTTCTCGGAGTGAACCCCATCTAATTGAGGTTAAAGTGGTGGTGACCTCTTGCTGACTCACAAAACCAAGGACCAAACTGTAAAGAACGAAACAGACGATCAAAATGTTCACCTCCAATGAAATTGATATTTATGTACCATTCAGTGTGACCTCCCCTTGTTCTCATGGTACCACTATCGCTGTGACTGTCTGGACCATCAGGCCCGATGTGCGCACATCTGTTTATATGTCTGTTTCTCCCACACACACTGGCCCAGTGACTGCACAACACTTACCTGAACCCAGTGTCACTGCCTGGGATGACTATACTTCCCTTAATGCACTCCAGCCCTGTTAGTAACACTATACGTAGGGTCATGGGCTTTGTACACAGCCCTTATATACTCTGTAATATGTTTATTAGAATTAGGAAATGTGTGTTTTTACTATTATGCCTCAATAATTGTTGTGAAACCTGTTTGAATTGTATTTGCACATTGAAATTGTTCTGTTGACATACAAGAACACACCTCTCGGTTGGCTAATAAATGAGAAAAAGGAAGAAAAAGGCTGTTTTCATGTAATTCATATATACAATATGAACTCACTGCGTGTGTGTGTGCGTGTATCCACCGTATTTTGAAACGCGTAAGTTTCAAGTTTTAACGTTTGATAACTAAGAATAACAAGTGCAGTAAATGGTAAAACTATTCGTTTGTAAATTGTAAACGAGTGTGTTCATGATTACGAAAATAAATATAAAAAGTATGATAACAAATAGGCCTATGTTTGCGATATCGAGCAGCATAACGGATTGTTTTTGAACAGGTAAAATAACAGGAAGTGAATTACACCGGAAGCCTCAATTCCTCGAACATTCTGGGAACAAATATAGCCGCGTCAAAAACGTTAAAAATAAGGTGGAATAAAAATGCAATATTTTATTTCCAATAGCATTTACGTGTTACTGTGAAACAAATGAATGTTTTCAGACAGCTTTTCTGAATGATAAATGCTTTCAGTACCTATAGCTGTCTCAGGATATCTCAACGATGTTGTCCTCCATCCGCACCATGCCTTCTCTAGCCTGGAGCTCATGCTTGTGCCAGTAAATGCAGGACAGATGATTTGATCCTAAAGTTGTCTTTGGGGAGGATTTACGTTCACTTTGGAACGCTTTTAGAGAGCAAAGTGTACTTCGTCGACCAATCAGCTCTCGGTTAAGGGATCCTGTGGACCAATCAGAACGCGCTGTTCGAGTAATAGACAAGGGGGTCTCTGCAAACTCAGAAATGTCTCCGTAGTTTGAGAACTCGCGCTCATCCTAAACGCCTGTTAATAACAATAACGCTACGATTATAATTCTCGTCACATAATGAAAACAACGACCAAGGACCACAAAAGAGAAGAGAGTACATCTGATTAATAACATTTAATTTCATCTTATTTTTATACTTATTTTCATGTTCTTCATGTAAGGATACAAAAAGACCATCGGAGCTTATGCTTTTTGTTTTTGATTGTGGAATATTTACATGCATTTTTAAGCCTGTTGAAGTGCACGTTTAGTCACCGCGCTGCCCTGGAGCAATGAGCGGCTTGGCAGGGACCGTTCCCAGGATGATGCGTCCATCTCTCTCTCAGAACTATCCCCGCAGCAGCTTCCCAATGGAGGGTAAATATGTTACATTAAATATGCACATTAAAATGGTTTAATTTAATAGTGGAAGCCCAAGTGTAAACCATTTTGGTATTTGTGTTGCATGAGTAGACTAACTTGACTAAAAACGGTGAAGTTACTTTTCCAAATGTTTTTTTTTTTTTTGAAACTTTTGCTGACATTTAAATATTATAATATTAAAAGTTATGTTTTGCTAGTATACATATTGTATTATGTTGCTTTTCTGAATTCTTCATTCTTAAATTTTTTTTTTCTTCAGTGATTCATTGTGCAAAGTACCTTTCATATATGAAGAACTAATAGGCTAACTATTTCACTGTACAGCTGTCACTTCAGGGTATTAGATAAAAAAGTTATTGGTGTAAAAAAGTTAAAAAGTTTAAGCTGTAAGGCTGTTTTAATCGGAATCATCATTTCTATATTTTCATAATTAACAATAGACTATTTGTTTAAATGCATTTAATTATCTGTCGCAATAGCCTACTCAATTGCATGAGTTCAGAGTTTCTGAATCAGTCGATAAATTTAAATAGGCTGGAAAAAGGATTGTAATTTTAGCAACATTTTTGTTTACCTAAAATTTAAAGCAGCAATTATACTGACGTTTTACTGGGTTGCTTTTATGTCAGAGAATTAAATGCACATGGAGCCTATAGGCTACTTGAACTGTCTTACTCCTTCCTTAGAAGCACTTCAGTTAGGCCTATTTACCTATGCAGAATGATTTTTCTTTCATGTTTCTGCAATTATGTTATCTCTCCACTGTCATAATTTGGGTTGGCTTCGATGCAGTTTCAACTCCGATAGGTCAGGGTCGAGTCAACCAGCTTGGAGGAGTTTTCATCAACGGCCGGCCTCTACCGAACCACATTCGACATAAGATAGTGGAGATGGCCCATCACGGGATCCGGCCCTGCATGATATCCCGCCAGCTCAGAGTCTCTCACGGCTGCGTCTCCAAAATCCTGTGCCGCTATCAGGAGACTGGATCCATCCGGCCTGGAGCCATCGGCGGCACTAAATCCAAGGTGAGGCCCTATAGGGAGGCATTGAAGTGCGGATTCATCTGTTGCAGCTGGGCGTGCGGATATTTCTATTTATTTTTATTTTATTTATTTATTTAGTCATTTAGCAGACGCTTTTATCCAAAGCGACTTACAAATGAGGACAATAAAAGCAGTCAAAACTAACAAAAGAGCAACAATATATAAGTGCAAATGACAAGTCTCGGTTAGCCTAACACAGTACACGTAGCAAGGTGAATATATATATATATATATATATATATATATATATACATACATATATACATATACACACATACACACACATACATACATACAAACAAACACACACTATAGATAAAGTAGAATTAAAATAGAATAGAAAGTGCTAGAGTTAGAGGGTCAAATAAAGGTGGAACAGATGTGTTTTTAGTCGTTTCTTGAAGATGGTTAAGGACTCAGCTGCTCGGAGCAGCTTATATTTCCAAGGAAATTTGTGGATAAACTCAAAGCAACAGGTCGATTACTAACTGAAAACGCCGAGTGGCGTTTGACATAATGACCCTGAATTTGAAATAAGAGTCTTTGAATTGAATCAGGCACCTTGTTCACTGTTTTTATTTTTATTATTTTTAACAGACTTCATCTCTACATGTGGAGAAGCGCGTTGAGGAATATAAACGGGGAAATCCCGGAATATTCAGTTGGGAAATTCGGGATAAATTGCTCAAAGAAGGAATTTGTGACCGGAACAACGTGCCTTCAGGTAGGCTATGCTTAAAACATAACGAAAAAATACAGGAACTGCAGTGTGCGAATTATTTATAAAAAAAAAAATTAAAAAAACTTTTACATTTGCATTTCCCTCACAGTTAACCGTCAACTGTCTTAAAGACGTAACAAAACTTTTTTTTTTTTAAATTTTGTGATATATAAAAAAATGCAAATAGCGCGTGTTTTGTAAACATCGACGTACTGTTGCTATGGTTACCTGGCGAACGCGATTTCTGTTGGTTAGCTCTAAAGTTAGCAAAGACCATAGAATACCCTTATAATAATAATAATAGCCTTAAAGTGACTTTGAAGTTAGGCAACTACAGCAAGTGTCTTCACTAGTTTTAGTAACCACAAAACGTAAACGACACACTCAGACTAGGCTACTTGTCATCTAACCTCTGCAGTTACTGAAACGTTTAAAAAATGAAATGCATACTATGAAATGCATACTAGTATATTAAAAGCTAGAAAACATATTAAGAGCACTTACGCATTCGGTTCAACTCTTGTCCAGTGAGTGCAATAAGCCGCATCATGAGAGGCCGATATGGCGCAAGAGGTGACGATGAGGAGGAGGAGGATGAAGAGGACATCGAGAAGCGCGAGCAGGAAGAACACGGCCGCAGGAGCGGACACAGCATCGAGGGGATTCTCGCAGACAGATGTGAGTGGATCCTACAAACTCTTTATGCTTTAATATCAACAGATTTCAGAAAGAACTGTGGCAGGAGGACTGTACATGATCTGGAGTTGTTGGAAAGATGTGCTTTTAACAAATTGGAATTTAATTAGAATGGTGATAGACCTATAGGCTATGTTTTCATGAATATATAAATGGATTGAACACTTGGGGCCTATAATAGTGATACAAACTCATAAAGGTTCCTATCGTTTTAGCCAGTAACAAAAGAAAAAAATTAGCCCACACTACTAGCAATTTTTTGGAAATTTTACTTGAAAATGCTTGACAAGCTTTGTGCATTAATATAAATTGTTCCCAAGAATTTCTCAGCAAAACATTTTTTAAATGGACAGATTGGATAATGAAGGAAACCTGGCAACAAGTGTCCAGAACGCATGCTTTTCAGTAGTTTTCAAAACCATCCCAGGATGCACTTCATGAAATTGGTTGAGAGAATTTCTAGAATGTGTAGAACTGGAATCTAGACAGTTTCATTTGTTTAACATTTCTTGGTCAATGCATAATTGTCATACGTCTATTTGTGTTATTTCATAGTTTTGATGACTTTATTATGACTATTTTACACATTTGAGGATAATAGTAAACAGTGAGGTGCCCAAAACTTTGACTGGTGGTTTATAAAGCAGAAATATAAACAAAAATGTGGTGTATTCACTTGTAATGTTTCTAATAGCCTATATTAATTAATTACGTTGCATTAATGATGAGTTAGATTTACTGATGATCAATAACCAGTAATTCCCAAGAATATTTTTTTGCACTTTATTTATTAATTTTTCAAACATGTTTAGACACAAAAAGTTCAAACTATTGCAGAATTATGTATTCTTTCCCCACCCCGTTCCACAACCCTGAATTAACAGAAAGTGGAAAAATAATGAATAAACAACCAAATAAATAATTATATGAAAAAACAGAGATAGCAGGATACATTTCAATATTTTGTTATCAAGCAGATATATCAAAGTCAATTTTTGTTAACAAAACAAGTAAATAAGTGTTCACACAAAAAAAAGTAATTCCCAAGAATATTAATAAATATTATGCAACAGGCATGAAGGAAGTGAAATAAAAAAGTTGCGAAATCTGGAAAAAGTGGGTAATGTGGCCACAATGATATTTTCATTCTACAAAAGCAATGAGGGTTTTAGATGGAGTTCTGCATTTCCTTAAAATAATACAAAATGAAGGAAATATATAAGTTACTGTATATACTAGAACAAATTGGATAATCAATTAAAAAACAAGACAATTGTCATAATTTACTCTCACTCATGTCATTCCAAACCCATATGACTTTCTTTCTGTGAAACTCTGAAGGAGAAATTATCATAAATATTAAAATATGACAACACAATGAATTGTTAAGAAAGGACAGCTGTAGCATTTCTGTGCAAAGCGGCCTCAGAGGAATCAAAAGGGGAAAAACGTTGATAAAAACAGTGGAAGAGAGTCTATTTTTGCCTTCTTGCTGCCTACTGTCGACAGCTGAAGTGAACTGATGTTTTGCTGTTCTGTAATGATATTTAATGAGCTAACAGCCTGTCCCTGCGTGACTAATTAAGGTGAATGTTATTTGACTGCCTCTGATGCCCAGCTAACACCACTTCAGCTCCCTAAATAATACTGATCGGGATGCAGTGTCACTCTTAATGGCGATGGGAGTTTATTAAAGGCTTTTTCCGTCAATAGGGACCAGTGTTCTCCTCGGCTGTTCCTTCATGGCCCGGAGCGGTGGTCACAATGGGGGCGAGCCTCTCGTCATGCGTGCTGTCCGTCACGCTCTGCCCGTCTCGCGATCCAAGAAAGACGAGTTGCCCGAGCCGATTAAATCAGGCTCTTTATTTGAACTTCGCTTTCATCTGGCCAATGAGTTCAACAGGCCTTGCTCTTTTTCTCTTTCGTTCTCCTCATGCCTTGTTCTACCTCTCTTGGCCTGCGGCGCATTTTCGATTAATATCTGTGGGCCGTTGTCAGTCCCTGCCATTCCCACCGCCCCTCCTTTCCTGGGAGACACAGACAGGCAAGTTGAGTTCAGTATTTACACCCTTCTTTTGAATAGGCAACAGCTTGATTCCTGAACCCTTTCCTTCATACTGTCTTCATATATCATCTTAAAGACTCAAAGATGTTGGAGTGTGTGCGGGGAGACTGTAGCTTATGAAATCTCGCTGTTGCTGTCCTCCAAAACGCCCAGCTAACAAAAAATATGTTCTATATGAGCATTTTGCTAACGTTCCCATTAAAAAACACCATAAAAACACCATTTGCGAATATTCTCTGAACATTCAAAATGCTCGGTTTAAAAAAACATTTTTTTTTCTTGGTTCAACATTAGAGAAAACATTAAGGTTCCATTTGATCATTTTGTAAACATTATGGGAATGTTACTTTTTGGAACCATCTGAAACTATTAAGTAGTAACATTTAAAAAAACAGACAAACATGCAACAAATTTAAAAGAAAAACATTTAAGAACATTTTGGTAACTTGATTCCTGAACCCTTTCCTTCATACTGTCTTCATATATCATCTTAAAGACTCAAAGATGTTGGAGTGTGTGCGGGGAGACTGTAGCTTATGAAATCTCGCTGTTGCTGTCCTCCAAAACGCCCAGCTAACAAAAAATATGTTCTATATGAGCATTTTGCTAACGTTCCCATTAAAAAACACCATAAAAACACCATTTGCGAATATTCTCTGAACATTCAAAATGCTCGGTTTAAAAAAACATTTTTTTTTCTTGGTTCAACATTAGAGAAAACATTAAGGTTCCATTTGATCATTTTGTAAACATTATGGGAATGTTACTTTTTGGAACCATCTGAAACTATTAAGTAGTAACATTTAAAAAAACAGACAAACATGCAACAAATTTAAAAGAAAAACATTTAAGAACATTTTGGTAACGTTTCCATTAAGTTATTAGGATGTTATTTCTGAATGTTCTCTTAAATGTTCTCTGAACTACCGAAAATATCCAGTTTTTAAATATTTTTAAAAAATTCTTAGATTTATGAATGCTGCAGAAAACATTAAGGGAATGTTCTATTTTATAATTTTACATACATTATGGGAATGTTACTAATGAATGTCCTCTGAACCTTCTGAAACTAGTAGTACTGTTCAAGAAATGTTACTTATGAAAACTTTCCTTGAATGATGTATAAATAATGATTTTGTGCTAATGTTACAGACCAACGTTGTAAAGACGAATGTTCTATTAATGTTACCGGAATACTCTTTGTTCATAACTTTGAGAGAACCTTGCCAGAACGCAGAACACAAAGTTCTGAGAATGTTCCCTATTCGTTTCCTTGCACGCATTGTGTCATATTGGAACAAATATAGTATGCTCAAAGCAGAAAAGTCTACTTAGAAGTATATTTTGAAAAGTGTAAAATGGTTGACACTCCTATAATACGCACATATGCACATGCTGCCAAACATATGCACATGCAAAAACATGCAAACACACACATGGATGCACACACGTACACATGCATACACAAACAGTGCCAACTGGCCCAATGTGGGATGGTTTGTGTGGCACCATGGAGTGTGCAGTCAGCGGGTCGTAATTCACTCTGGCAGCCAAAACAAACACATGCACACAAACACAAACACAAAAACACAAATGCACCACCAAGAAGACCTAAAAAAGGAAATTTCGTCAAGACAAACTTGGCTAGACCTTAACATCTCTAAGTGAAAAATTCAGTCTATTTTGGGAGTATTTTTATCGTATGTGAAATATTAAAGCATGCATTGCTCCCTTTTATGACACAGAGTGAGGCAGACAGTGAGAGGAGTATAGTTGGATGGCAATGCGGGGAAACCCCCCAAACAAAACTGTCTCCATTGTGTCCAGCGTGCAGTGTCAGGGTCAGCAGACTTAGGAATCCGTGTCTGCTTGAGTTCAGGCCCTGAAGGCAAAACTACAGTATGTGTGTGTCAGTTAGCACACAGAGAGCACGAAAACAACACAGAGAGTTCAGGGCGGCTGCTTTTTATTGGATAGTTGATAAGTGAGCATAGGACTTGTATATGAAAATATGAATCAACTCACCTAATCACAACCACAAAGTGCAGTTTCTTGCTTAGTTTGTTTAAAAAAGGTGGTACATTGTTTTAGCTGATGGCAAACAAACACTTGTTTTAAGTTGTTAAACAGAGCAGTCTGAGGTCACTGGCGTTTGACCTCCAGTGATCAAAGGTCACATGGGAGTATGTTTAGAGTGACAGGTGACCACTTCCTGTTTTAACTCCTATTCCCTTCAGCATAAATGCACTAACTATATTTGAAATAGCATCTTACTTATCTTACTATGTCAGCATAGGATGCACATTTTCCACCACAATTGTGAAAATGTGCAATATACACACTTTAAGGAATACTACAATGTACTGACCTGATATTGCATCTCCAGTATGAAGTAATATATTAACAGCAATCTAATACTTGACTTACATCTTGATTGGACTGAGATACACTGCTGTTGATTGGATTTTTTTTATGTTTTTGAAAGTAGTCTCTTTTGCTCACTAGGGCTGCATTATTTTGATCAAAAATACAGTAAAACCTGTAATATTCTGAAATATTATTACAATTTAAAGTAGCTGTTTTCTATTTAAATATATACTTTAAAATGTAATTTATTGCTGTGATGCAAAGCTGAATTTTCAGCATCATTACTCCAGTCTTCAGTGTTACGTGATCCTTAAGAAAATATTTTAATATGCTGATTTGTTGTCCAAGAAACATGTTAAAAATAGTTTTATGGAAACTCTGATCATTTTTTCAGGATTATTTGATGAATAGAAAGTTCAAAAAGAACAGCAAATCTTTTGTAACATAAAGGTCTTTACTGTCACTATTGATCAATTTAATGCATCCTTGCTGAATAAAAGTATTCATTTCATTTAACTTTTGAATGGTAGTGTAAGCTAGCGCATTTCTACAGAAACTTGGATTAAAAATGCAAAATAATCATCTCTAATTAATTGCAAGTTTGATGAAGCCATATCGTGCACTGTACTACTTTGAAATGTTCATAGTTGCATACTGCATGCTGTTTCACACACTAGCTTCTTTTACAAAAGCCACACAAGCAAAAAAACGTATCAAAAGTGACTCGAGAGCAAAGCAAAAGAGGCTAAACAGACCAAGAGCACATTTGGTTCAGAGCTGAAACGTGTGGTTGTTTGAGGGCAGCTGCGAGGGTCACAGTTGCTCTTTAGCAAGTCAAGTCCTCCCTCTGTTTCTCTCTGTTCCTAAACGCTGGGGGGCAGATGGGCCCACGAGCTGTCACTCATCCTTTCTGTCTCCGGCATCTGTTAGTTCTCTATGTACTGCTTAATGTAGTCGGGCAGTCACTCAGCCAACCTCGGCGCTGAAAAGGACCCGCCTCGCTCTCCCCTCTCCGAGACGCTGCATTTGTTCCCAAGCTTTCTTTTATGCATGTCTTTGTCTTTCTTTTTTGGCTGTTTTTGATGGCGAGGGGGCATGTCATTGGCTCAATTAGCTCTCTTCATTACCTGCCCCCAAGAGAATCGCTCGCACACACACAGACTAACGCTACACACGCACATATGGTTTTATCTTGGACCTCTGCTGCTTGCCCCGACCAAAACTAAGTGCAAAAGCCTGCTGGATATGCGATCGCCGTCTCGCAGTATTAATGAAACTCCTTAGGTGGATTTTGTGTACATGAATGCATGAGGTAAATGGGCTCGGGGTGATATTTCGCCTCCGAATATTGAATTTAAACAACGAGGGCCCAGAGCTGAAGAGAAACGGCGGATGGAGATGCTTTTAGTGACCGCACCGTTTACATAGCGGAGGGCTAAAATATCTTAAAACACATACTCATGCACACTACACGTTAACTTTACATGCCAAAGACCTAAAACCACACACACATACGCACTCTGTGTATTTACAGAAGGCAGAATATCTCTAGATTCTCCAGCGGTTCCATTTCCATGACGTTTGGGTTTTGGTTGTGTGTGTTTAGAAGCCTGTGGTCTGTATTTTTCTGCCCGAATTAAACCCGTGTTTACTGTTTGCTCTTTGGTTCTGTTTATTCACTTGCCTTGATTCTCATTCAGTCAGCAAAAATATAAAGATGCAAGCACTTACTTGTTTGCTACCTGATGATTAGATGTCAAAAATGAAAATTTTTCCAATCCTCTATTTCCTTTCATTTCAAAAAGCACCATAAAAGTATCATAGAAGTAGTCCATGCAACCTGTGTACTATATTTCAAGTCTTCTGAAGACATACAGTAGATTTTTGTGAAGAACTGATCAAAATTTAAGTGTCTCGTTTAAGATTTTTCAGACTCGCCACATTGCAATCACTTTATGTGATGTGAGAACCAATCTGTTTGATACAATAAATGTCTAGAGCATATTTACATAGACAAACATAGTAAGAAATTAAACTGAAGAAATAGCACAGCAGAACGCAGCCTGTTTGATCAATGAACATTTTGACACCATTTACTCACCCTTGTGTTTTGATCCTGTATTTTCTTTCTTGTGAAAACTCTGGGTTTTTTTCTGTCAAGCTCCTAAAATAACAAAAAACATCATAATAGTATTATTAAAGAAACCTGTGCAATATATTTTATTCTTCTGACAGATTTGGTTTTATTTTTCCATACAACGACAAAAAATTGCATCTGTTAAATGCCTAAAATGACAAAAAAACACCTCAAAAGTATAATAAAAGTAGTCCATGAAACATGTGCACTATATTTCATACAATAGATTTGTGTCAAAATTCACAGTCGTTTTTCACTTATAATGATCTCTTCTGGTATCAAGTCTCATTTTTACATTTTTCAAACTTGCCACATCACAATTACTTTACGTGATGTGAAAACCAAAGCTGTTTGATATCACTAATAAAGCATATTTAGACCAACATAGTAAAAATGTCATTAAAAAATAGCACAGAAGAACACAGCCACTTAGTGGAGCTTTTTTGGAGCTTGGTAGTTTCAACGTAAAATATGGTTTAAAAAATCATATAATTTTTTGTTTTTATTAAAGTCAAAGATATAATTAATATAATATAATAACTTAATATAATGTATCATTTTTAAGTCACCCAATCACCATAAATACATCAAGTTACACTAATAAAACTACATTTAAGGGTTAGATCATATAGAAATAACTTAAGTAAATATATGATGACAAAAAATTACAGGTTTTGATTAAAATATCCCTTTACTTGAGAGTTATTAATGCGAGCGCACAGTAAAAGAAAACCCATAGATGACTCATTATTTAGCTCTCATTCCTTCAATAGACTAGACTTTTTTGATAGGTCTCAGATCTGTGAATCATCTGTTTCCACATCCAAGTCTCAGGTGCTTCTGAGCTTTTTCTCAATGGGTTTTTGAAGAGATTGAGCACTTGAACTACCGAGCCCACCCTTTTCCCTTTCTGCCCTGCCACCCACCCACCTTTGGCCTTCTTTCTGCCCCTTCCACCCCCTCCAGGGCAGGTGACGGCCTCCACTGAGAGCCCCGGCCGTCATGATGGATTCCACAGATGGAGCGTGCAAATCGATCCAACAAAGACCGAGGGGAAGACAGATTGAGAGAGAGAGATGCACAAATAGCTCAATGTCTGGACAATAAAAATTCACTAAATAGGAATTTCCTTTAATTCCAACACCATGAATATACTGTATAATTACCGGCTTTTCCGTTTGGAATGTGTTGTTGTGAGTCATTCTAGGCTGATGAACAGTTTTCCACACGCTTCAGTGTTCCTTTAACCAAATCCCTGTGAAATTGTAGGAATTTCCCATAGTTCTCATTTGAGTCCTCATAAGTACATTTCTGTTTGAAATAAGAAAAACAAAAGCCTTTTTATGAGTAAATAGGTCATGTTTTATTAAATTAATGATTTGGGTTTTATTTATTTGTGTGTGTGTGTGTGTGTTTCTTTTATAGATTTGTTTTATTTTTTCCATTTAATTTTACGGTCATCCAGCACATTGCCTCTTTCTTTTCTCCTCCACTGTATTTCTCTTTCATCCAGTTTGTTCTTGTGCTTTTTAAAATCCCTCCTGCAGCTCTCTGTTTGTGTTTTATTATTTGACTGTTGCTCTGTGGTCTTTTTAGTTACTGAGGAAAAATGGAGAGGGAAAAAAAAAATCAGACAAGGAATTACTGTGCGACACACAAAAATAAGCCTGGCTCTGAAGCCTTTCAAGAAAAGATGTGAAGAAGCTCATACAATTCTCCTTCACCAAAACACCACATCATTAAAAATGAGTAAAAGCTGCTAAAACATGTTTGTTTGGTACTTTTGCCAATTGAGGAGTGTCTTTTGTGCTTCTGCGTGTTCATATTTGTGTGTATTTTCTAGGTTTATGACACACACAATTGTTTAAGTGGAGATTTGCCATTAACAACTACTGTTTCCATAATACTAGACAAAACCTAATCCAGTTTAAAAATAAATAAATATTATTAAACACACAAAAAAAAGGCCGAACAGCTGGAGGAGCTGGAGAGAGCTTTCGAACGCACACATTACCCTGATATCTACACCAGAGAAGAGCTCGCTCAGAGAGCCAAAATCACAGAGGCACGAGTGCAGGTACAAATACACCCCATACGCCTGGAAAAAAGAACAGACAGAATCAAAAACTATTTCATTACACTCCTACGCTTGTAAAAATTCCCAAGAATTTGTATTTATTTATTTTTTACAATTGGATTTGAAGAGATTGAAGATTTCAGGTACTTTTGAAGAGATTGAGCTCTTGATTTTTTTATTCTATACAAAATTATATATATATAAACATATAAACTTTATATGAATAAAAATATTTCTTACATTATATATTAATATAATATCAAAATCTTAAAATACACCTTATAAATTCAAATCTAAATATGATATATTTTTTAAGTATTTTGTTTTCTTACATTATTTTTAGATATTTAGAATAAATGTATAATGTATAAAAATAATATCTACATTATACCATTTTGTAAATAACTTAAAAATAGCATTTTTATATCTTAATCATATAATTTGAAAAAATCATATTGTGTGTAAAAAAATATTTTATTAACTATTTCATTACACTCCTACGCTTGTCTTTTCTCAGGTGTGGTTCAGCAACAGACGAGCTCGTTGGAGGAAGCAGGCGGGAGCCAATCAGCTCATGGCATTCAATCACCTGATCCCCGGTGGTTTTTCACATCCGGCGGTGTCCAGTCTCTCCCCGTATCAGCTGTCAGAGAGCCCGTACCCACCCGCTGGCCTTTCTCAAGGTAAACATGTTGTATTTAAATCCACTTTGACGTATAAAATGTTTCCGGATGTAATGGCTATATCTGTTGTCAGATTTGAGTGCTGTACACAGACCTCAGCCGCTCCCGCCGCCCGCAGGCCATCAGAGTGCTGGAGGGGCGGGGCCGGAGGGCGGGGCTTCCTACTGTCTCTCCAGTCGCCATGGCTACGCAGGATATTCAGATACATTTGGAACTCATAACAGTCACACCAACTCTGCCATCAACAATGGACTGTCTTCTCAGGTAATAAAGGCTTTAAATTGTGTAAAACCGTTGAATATAATTTCTAATAATGCTCAGTTATTAGTTAGTGAGTTGTCAGTCTTTGGTTGTCACATGACTAGCTTAAACAAATGACTAAGTCTGTACATTAAACTGGATAAAGCATCAATGGCCTGATATTGATTACCAGAGAAAATCATGTTAACTTGTCCCTCATTTTGCAAACTGTAACACACTTATCATGGAAGTCTAGAAGGCAGCGACACAAATAGATATTTAAAATAAAATCATATTCAAGACATCTCCAAAACACTTAACTATTGCATGCGTGTATGATAAAACCACTTAAACTTTTCCTTTCCTGTAATGAAAATCTGCTGATTCTGGTTGAAAAGGATACCTGATAGAGTTATAAAATTACAATATATTCTATTATAATATTTATGAATATTTACTTTTAGCATATTTAATATAATATTAATTTAAAATACTTAAAATCTAGTCATTTTCTTCATTTTTATTTATTTCATGATTTAATTACTTATATATACAGTATATATACAGTATACATATATATATATATATATATATATATATACAGTATATATATATATATATATATATATATACTTAAAGTCTGTTAATGAAAGATTTATTTATTTATATGGCACTTTATTCATTTAATGATTTAATTACTGATACACATAAATAAATTAATATATGTTTATATGAAAAAAGTTAGTGACAAATTCATGTAAGTACTTTAACAAAACTATGAGTTGCAAATTGAAGGATGAGTCTTGTCTAAATTATTTTGTGTGGTAATTAGCAGCATGACAGATCCTAAACCTAAAATAATTTTTGAGATAAAAAAAAAAAAACAGCATAAAATAGTGATAAATGAAATGTATTTTTTTTGGTTAAGCCTTTAAATGTTAAAAACATGCAGTTGAAAATGACTCAGTGGACGGTGCAGTGGATCCACCTGTTGACCCACAGTTGAGTGTCAGTTTAATGGCTTCTGGCTTCTGTAGAAACTATTACACACTTCAAGACAATGCATTACGCAGATAAATTCCTCCATCATAGGTCATTTCCGTTTTTCACTCAGTTATCTTTAGCTTTCCACTGGACCGTGCAAACGCAGCACAGAACACACAGAAACACTGACGCCCCTCTGTGTGCGAGACAGACGACTGACCTCCACATGCTTCTCATTTGTTAAAGGAGCGCACCAAAGCCTCAACAGGGGGTGTTTGTCAGGAACACTGACAGAGCGCTATGAATTACAGGTCTGACGGGTGTGAATGTAGTGTGGAGTGAGTCTGGTACAGTCTCACATTCTCGCTGTCATCGTCCACAGTGCTAATACATGAAAAATGCTGTTAAGATTCAAAGCATCCCAGTGTAGTATTGAGATGGATGTTTCAATCTTCATAGTGTTACATATAGATACAGTCGTGGCCAAAAGTTTTGGCAGTGACATAAATTTTGTGTTTTGCAAAATTTATGTCATAAGCTGTTGTGGTGTTCATTCACATTGTTTCTAGATGATGCCACTTCCAATACTTGTAGAAACAATGTGAATGAACACCACAACAGCTTAAGTAGCAAATTTTGCAAAACACAAAATTTATGTCACTGCCAAAACTTTAAATCATTCAAAATTTGGGGTCAGTAATATTTTTTACATTTTTAAAAAGAAATGAATACTTTTATTCAGCAAGGATGCATTAAATTGATAAAAAGGGACAGTAAAGACATTTATAATCTTACAAAAGATTTCTGTTTCAAATAAATGCTGAATATGAAGCGGCACAATTGATAATAATCAGAAATGTTTCTTGAGCAGCAAATCAGCATATTAGAATGATTTCTGAAGGATCATGTGACACTGAAGACTGGAGTAATGATGCTGAAAATTCAGCTTGCATCAAAGGAATAAATTACATTTTACAATATATTCAAATAGAAAATAGTTATTTTAAATTGTAATAATATTTCACTGTATTTTTGATGAAATAATTACTACTTGTGAAACCATTAAAAACATTTTTGAACGGTTGTGAATAAAGGCGTCTATCAGACGCAGTGTTTGGGCTGTGTTGTGTTCAGGTGTGTGTTCAGGCAAATAAATGCAGCCTTGGTGATCAGAAGAGACTTCTTTCAAAAACAAAACAAAAAATCTTACAGATCCCAAACTTCTCTCTCTCTCTCTCTATATATATATATATAACCGCACCTTAGCAAATCTATATATTTATAAAATAATTTTTATATTTTACAACAAGTTAGCAACTGCAATCAACAGTTAGTAATGTGATGCCAACTCAGATTTTCTATGGGAAATATAAAAATCTAGTCAAATTGTATCCAGAAAGTATGTACATTTAATGTGAAGTTGTTGGTTTTTGATTATGTTGAGTGCTAAATTTTCCCAAACTCATGGAGAAAATCTTCCAGAGCTTTGGAAACAGAATTCCATCCTGGATTCGGCACACATCACTCCCTGCTCCACTATGGGAAATGGTTTAAGCGAGACCATGTGCGTGACCGTGTGTGTGTGTGTGTGTGTGTGTGTGTGTGTGTGTGTG